CAGGCAGGAACGCTCACGTTCAGCAGCAGCCCCGGAGAGCCGCTCCAGGTCGGCTGACATCTACTCATGAAAGTTATTACAGAACTCCCTTCATCCAACTGGAAAAAAAACAAACCTAAAGCAAGAGTTTTCCATTAGGTACTCGGAGAGATCGCAGGCTGAGCGACTGCTGCTGCCGCTAGACAGTTTAGCCGAGTTTCTCAACACGGCACACGCGTGTGTGCACATCTACAGCGAGCGTCCAACACGCCCTGACAACCCGTCCCCAGAGCCTGGCAGCATCGCTCAGCTCATCTTCCAGGAATCCATCCCAGTGCTCACCTGTACACTCCGGACTGGTCCCAGTCCAGGTCCCGTTCACCGTGCAGTGCCTGCTCAGCACTCCTGTGGAGTAATAACCTTCCCGGCACTGATATATAATGGAACTGGAGAAAATCAAGCCGTCGTTAAATATAACCCTCGCGTTGCTAGGGGTTCCTGGGTTTCCACAGGATATAACTAGAAAGGCAAAATGGCAAAGTGAAAAATAAAACCACCCAACAACCAAACAACAAACCAACCACAAATACCACCCTCCAAACAAAAAACTAAGGCTTTCATCCTGCAATTGACTGTTCTCAATAAAAGTAAGATCAGCTGCAAAGCCCCTGGATCAGCTCAGACGCAACAGACTGTTCTGTGGAAAATCAGCTACATCAATCCAACGGGATCCCAGCCACCACTCTCCCGCTCGGAGCAAGGGCTCTGCCTTGCCAGGCGGCGTGTCCCAAGGCTGTGGCCAGCATCCCTGGGGCAGGGGACTGAAAAAACCCTCCACGTCTGCAGCCAGCCCCAACCCCGCTCCTCTCCCGGGGGGATCCTGCAGCGCACCCCCAGAGCCAAGCCTGGGAGCAACCTCCTCCCGCCTGCTCCTCCGGGCTGAAGGAAGAACTCGTGTCGGCTTGTTGCAGAGCTCTTATCCCAGCTTTTAATTCCACAGCTAGTCCTACAGCAGGTGTTGACATCCAGGTACCTCCATCTTCCAGGAGTTTGGAGCACGGACCTGAGCGTGTCGCTGTGCCTCCGGCCCCTTCGGGAAGCGGACGACTTTGCAGACTTCGAAGGAATGAAGGCAGCAAGGGAGCCCGCTGCTCCCTCACTGCAGCATTGCTCACTGCCCAGCTATCTCCAATTATGCTTTCACAGGAGGGAGGGTGTTGTGGGAATACAATTATAGGTTTGCCAGTGCCCAAGTTTTATGCCTAAAGTACCTCAGCACCACAGCAATAAAAGGGCATCGGAGTGAATGGTGGTGCACAAAGCCCTGTCATGACAAAATAAGCACCTGCAATAATTGCATCCAGCCCTCATTTACTCTGAAATTACAGGACATAAAAGAAAATCACATGAATCAAGGAAAGGCTTAAACCGCATGCTCCCAGCTCTGTGACAGGGAAATTCCTTGCTCCCACCCCTCCCCGGCAACGTGCCACAATCCCTGCAAGAGCATCGGTCTGTGCACGCTCACGGTGTGCCGGTCCAGCCCCGGGACTGCTCCCCGGCACCCCCCAGTACCGCCAGCCTTCCTCCACGGGGAAACGCAGCTCCAGGCCCCAGCAGAAAAGCAAAGAGCACAGGCCACCAACGCAAGGAGAGAAAGTCTTCCTCTGCCTGGTGCTTAGTTTGCTGACAGCCTGTTAACACAGGAGCTTGTTGGAGGCATATCTGTTTGACAGGAGGAAACTAATAACCATTCTGGACTGCGCACACAGGAACTCTGCACGGCACTAAAATCATCCGAGGTGCCCTCTCGTTACAGATTTCTCATGCAGCCAATGTCTCTGTGATACACGGTGTCATTTCCACGAGATGCTGGGATAAAAATCAGATTCTATCAACTCAGAAAAAGCTCTAAATTACTATTTCACTGCCTGCCCATACATCAGCTGTTCTCCCCTGCCCAGCCTCCTCCACCTATGCATGTGGCCAAACACACACAGGTGACCCAAATACCATTACTTTCGTGGCTACAAGGAGACTCATGGAAATGGTTTAACCACAGCGTGCATCAGCTGTGACCTGTATAGGCTGGATATAAAAGCAGCCATAAATGTAAGGATGAAAGGTTTGAACTTTTAAAATAATAATTTAATAGGATCTACTCATGCAAGCGAGCACTAAATAATTCCCTTTGGCTTCAGTGGGAGATGTAAAATGAATTGGGCCCCAAAAGAAAGCTGATTTTGGCTTTGGTTTTTGAACAGAGTATAAATCCTAAAGAGCCTGGAAACCCCACAGTCATACCCACTCACGTCTCCTTAAGAACCTCACACCCAAACACCTTCAAACCAAAGTCAAAATTCAAGAAAATAACCTGAAAATCAGCTGCATCAGATGGGGATTTCTTAGAGCTGCTTCTGCTTTAGCAGGGAAACATTCCAGGAGATGATGCTCAGTTGAAACGTCGGATACGACAAGAAAGGTTTGACTCTCCGTTCCAGCAAGGGGTGCGAGGGGTGCCGAGAGCTGGCTCGTCCTGCTCCTCCCACCCAAAACTCGGTTTCTGCCACATTGCAGAAGACACGACAGACAAACACTGGAGCCCAGACCCTCACACCCCGATCAGCACGCGTCCGTGCCGAAGACGCAAGAGCCCTGAGCCTGAGCCCAGACCCCTGCCAGGCTGAGGAGCACGGCACGTCACCCCGACAGCGCCAAACCCCGCTGCTGCTACCGAAACAGCTCAAACGTCTCCGGGACATACCGATCGTTACAGAGCTCCCCACCTTGGGGTTTCTAGGTTTGTTTCTTCGTCAAAGTAAATTTTGCTCCTACAGTTAGTTTTATGAAGTCCTTTTTGAGCAAAGCCCACGAAAAGCTTGCTAAATGCAATTAACTCCATCCCCACCTCTAAAGCCTACCCGCAGCACAAGGTTCGCCAGGCAGCGGGATGGGGTGAGCTCAGCGGGGCAGGCTCCCAGCTCCTCAAAGTCTAACAGGAGATGGCACGGCGGGGACCAAACACCTGAAAATGTGTTCCTGAGAACTCAGCTACTTACCCTAACCTGGGAGCCGCAAGCTCCTTTCAACGCTTTATTGCTTCCTCAGGGCTGCCGCGAAGTCGAGGGCACGCTGGCTGCCTCCCCGCCGGCCTTGCTGACTCCCACACCTGCAGCTCTCAAACACGAAGGGCTGCTGAGCGGAGGGGTCGGGGAGCGACTGGCCGCAGTGGGCACGACAGCAGGCTGTACGTGCTGGGGCTGCGACTCTTCCCCCTCCAATTCCTCCTCCTAGAGAGGAAGCAATTTTGATTTTTGAGGACGCGTGCTGTGCGCGCGTGCTGGGGCGGCCCGTGAGCAGAGACGGCAGGGACATCGGCGTCTGCCTTCGCTCCCGATCGCAGCCGGAGCTGCTCCCTGCGATCCCGTCGCTGCTGGGGGGAGCTGGGAAGCTTCTGTACGCTACAAAGTGGCCTCTGCTATATAAAACATCACAAAGCTCGGAGGTGCTCCAGAGCTCAGCAATAATTAATTTGATTCCAATCCATGCCTTTTTTTCTGAAAAGCTTATGAAGATTCCCCCTTTGCCTCCCTTTGCTTTTTTCCTACGTGTTTTACAGCGAGAAGCTGCTGGGAAAAGGGAATTTCTCCGGGTCCCGTCCAGGCGCTCAGCTCAGAGCTGGTGTTACTTACGACACACTTAAAGTTCCCCCATCCCTGCGCAGCAAACACCTCCCCGAACACGGCGAGAGAGGCTTGTTTCGGGGCTCTTTCCGCAGGCAGTGCCGAGAGCAGGCACATTTCTGCAAGGAGCAGCAAGCCCTGCTCTGCGAAACCGCAGCGAGGAAAAGCTGAGGGCTGCTGACCGCTACCAGCGCACGCCTGGCTGTGCTGGAGGTGGCGTGTGAATACAGCGTGCTTTGCACGCTCCCCCTCCTCTGACCTCATCTTTGTAACCACCGGTCCTTCTTTTGGGCTCTGCTGCCATCTGAGCGCCCGGCTGAAGCTCTCTGCTAATGATGTCTGACACATCGGGCAAAACCTCCCGCTGGATAAGACACAGCTGAGAGCTTTTGGAGTCTCAAAGCCTTTGCTTCAGGGCTGGTAATTTCCATGCTGTTTAATTTAACCAGTAACCCGTAACCCAGCTAACCAGGCAGAGAGAGAAAGAAAAAAAAAAGCAGCTAGACCCAAATCCCAGCCCTGCCACCTCCCGTGTCCTCAGCGGTCAAATGGGATTGAGACAAAACTCTGTTTCTTTTTCCAGTGTTCACACTTAAAATAAACACCGTTCTATCTACTGAAACTGCCGAAAAGCAGCCAGAGCCCCATCATATTTTGGATGCAGTTTTAATTCACCTGGAGAAACAATGAACATTGAAGCAGATGTTCTGCGCAGCCTTTAAGAGGAGGAGGGAGGATAGAGCAGAGTACAACTGACGGGCCTCCTCCTGCACCGCTCCTCGCTGAACACAGATATGGCATCAGGAAGGGGGAGAAGGAAGGAAAAAAAGCATCTAAAATTTCACTTACACTTTAAAAACTTGCTGGAAATTAAAGCTAAATGAGGCCTGAAATCTGCAATTTTGGAAAGCCAGGGAAGCTGCTCTTACTGGGGACAACAAAACCAAAGCTACAGAAAAGAGACTGCAGCAGGAGTCTCAGAAGGAGTCCCTGCAATTAATTTAATTCCAAACCACTTGTACATTTTGGAAAAATCAGTTATGACTTCTTCCTGCAGAAAAGAGACTGCAGCAGGAGTCTCAGAAGTAGTCCCTGCAATTAATTTAATTCCAAACCATTTGTACATTTTGGAACAACCAGTTATGACTTCTTCCTACCTCCCCATTCCTTTGGTTTTCTTAAAAAGCGTTCCAGTGGGTAAGAAAGGTATCAGGGTTAAGAGCCGATGAGTCTCAAGGTGACCCTCTGCGAAGCCCAGTGCTCCCGTCGGCCACACACCCACCCTCCGCGGCTCGGGAGGACACGGATGGTTCAACATCAGCCCCTTGCCTTCAAACGCTAGCACATGCTTTGTAGTTGAACCAATTATGGCAGCTTGGTCTCTCGCTTTCTCCTAAATGGAGGTAACAGCTCCGCTCCCCATCCCTTCTATTTTACACGGTGGGATTTGCACGGTGTCGTCTCTATGTGTGCGCGCTCACGTGTTCCTCTGCAGCGGGCCCTCATCTCCTGCTGCACGGGCTGAGACCCTCTGTGCTCATTTAGCAGCTAATCTGGAGAGCAATTTCCATTGAATTCCCTGGGCAGGCGAGCGCCGGTGACCCACGAAGCCCCATCAGGCTTCATTTTGCTCAATTTTGGTGGCTGAGAGCAGCGACCGAGTGGCTGAGTCAGAGACTAATGCACCGCCGAGATGCCGAGCGGCTCCGCTGCCGCGCTCGAGCTCTTCCACTTCGGCAGAGATGCCCGTTCCTCCTTCCAAACACCTGCCTGGGCACTCAGCCCTCCTCTTCATTTGCCCTGAATTCAATCCCAAAATTAATCTCTCCCGTCCCTCTCCTATAAATACCTGTTCCAGGAAGTTGAATATAACACTCAAAGCGCAGTCAGAAGAACACCTCGTGGTGCCTGCAACTCGCCGTGAATCCAAACGACGGGGACACAGCACAGGGCTCATCACTGGAAATTACTTTCCCATATTGGCCAGGCAGCACTTAACATTAAATGACTACGTTATAGACATAATGTTGTTATTATTCATAAAGTATGAAAAAAAATCTGCCAGGGATCTGTATTTTGGTGCCTTTGGAACCTGATGGGTTATTTATCCTGAGATAACAGAGCCTTTCCACTGAACGGGGCGGGGGGGGGGAGAAAAAAAAAAAAAGAGAACGAAAAAACCCCGAGACTGAGTGTATTAATAACATGATTCAGTGTCTTTTCAATCAAGAGCTCCATCAATTTGGAATAAATTTCCAATTCATTTGTAAACTCTCTCTGAGCTTTTGGCTTTCAAATCAGCTGGAGAGAAGCCCTTGCCCAGGTCTCCTTGCGTTTGGTATCCCGCCTCGTTCTGGCTTTTGTTCTTTCCCCAACTGATTTTTAAACACTTTTATAAAACAGTAGCAGCGAGCAGCACAGCTCAGAGAATCCGGCTGGGGACTTATTAGATTGGATTATAGGGTCTTACTCGATTCCTTCAAATGGAAAAATAAGGGGTTTGGGGTTTTCAAATACGAAAATATGCTTACTGGATTATAATTTGCATTTTGCATTTCTGCTTAATGTAAATGACTCTTGCATGTGCCAACTCCAGCTTTATCGGAGGTCTGAAGCTATTGACATTTCTCATTCTGCTGAATTTCCTCAACAAAGCAACAATGACTTAGTGGTACCGGACCCAAACTGGGGTGTTTCTGCTCATCTGCCTGGGTGGGCGATGCAGACCAAGAGAGTCACCCCCACGATTCTTGCAGCGAGCCTCTGAGCGACAGTCTTGGGGGACAACTGAAGTGGGGACCAGTTCCCAAAAGCTCTTCCTACTCTAAACCTCAGTCTAGATGTTGGTGCGAACCTGAACGGCCTGAAACCGTTTATGCCATCCTGGTGCGCCCTGCACGGCAGAGCTGGGCACCCAAAGAGGTGATACCCACCCTCGAGCACTGAACCCCCCCGCCCCCCGCTGTGAGATGTGACCTGCAGACGTTTGGAAAGGGGAGAACTGAAGCTCCTTGACATACACGCAAAATTTGGAGGAAATGCTGAACAAGAGCACTATTTCTTGCAGCTCCAGACTGTCCCTGGCAACAGATAGGGGACAGGCTGGCCAGGCAGCCGTCCCTGCTGCGGTAACTCTGGGGACACTCACGGCAAGGCTTGGCATGATGCAGGAGAGGACGTGGGGTTGGAGAAGTACCTTCACACTCCGGCTGCGTGCCGCTCCAGGAGCTGTTGGTTTGGCAGGTCCTCTCCGATGAACCTCGGAGCACGTAACCGGGCTCACAGCTGAACCTGACCACGCTGCCTACATCGAAGTCATCTCCCAGCCCAATGCCATGAGAGGGGATCCCCGGGTCACCACACAAGCCCTGGCTGCCTCCTGTTAAGAAGAGAGCACAGTATCAGCAGAGTAAGCACATCATGGCGTTTGGCCCTTCTTCCCTCTCAACTGCAGCGTTCAAAGGGCCAGCACACGGATTTGGATCGCGTGGCCGACGTGATTTCACTCGGACTGGCTCTCAGCAGAGCGGGGAAATTCCAGGCAAAGCATCCCCTGACTCCGGCAGCCCGCTGGTTTTAAGCGGGTTGCAAAGTACGGCCGTAACTCCTGAATCTCAAGATGGAGCCCTCGGCAGCTGCAGCTGCTTTCCGTGGCAGCTGCTCCAGCAGACAGCAGCTCGGTTGCCAGCATCACTCATGCGGATGGTTTCCCTCCAAGCAGAAATTACGACGTGCTCCAAGCCACCCCAGCACGCCCTATTGTATTTGCAGAACAAGAAGCTGTTGGGTTTGGAGCAGAGAGGCGGGAGGGATCCAGCTGAGAAACATCCGCTCGTACAAGTTGTGAACACTTCGAGCTGCCGGCTGTAAGTTAGGGGGACAGGAGGAAGGGAGCAGCTGCAGCAGATGCCTCGTGGGGGTTCTCTGGAGCAGGCTGGAGAGATGCCCACCTCCCTTCTGCCTGACACAGGCTCCTGCCGTGTATATGCCTGTTCTTGGCTTTCTCCGCTAATGATCTGTGTAAACGCATCCACCCCCAAGCCAGGAAAGACTATTTCACTCCTGCAGCTAGTAATGAAGTTCCCGGTTCCTGGGCCTTCTGTGCCCTGCTGCAGGTACAGCCTTTGCAGTGGTACATGTAATATAAACCATAACGAGCATATTCATCATCCAGGGAATGTACTTGCTTGTAAAGAGAAGGGGGGGAATGCTCCAGGTTCGGTATTTTCTTTCACATCGAGACTTATATCAAAGTCTTTTGTTTCATCTTGCAAAAACTGCTGTCACACTGTAGGGATCTTCTGCGCACGATGGAGAACCTTTGCAGGAGATGACCTGGGCTGTATTCTGCCTCTTCGCTGCTTTTCTAACTGTTCTGCCCGAGCCCAGCGTAAAAGAGGAGCCTCTCCCCAAGTCCCTGGGTGGAAATCATGGTGCTGAGGTACTGGTCATTCACCTGGCCCCACTTCAGAGAGGGTCTCTCAAGGCCATCAGCCTTGGTCCAAAGCTGCCTCCACGAAGTCACTCAGAAAAGTGACGTGCAACAGATGGCAGCAGGAACTAGTCAGAGCGATGCTGAATGTTTCCAAAGATCCACCCGCAAAGAGGACAGGAAAGACAGTGGAAACCACACGGGGAAAAGGCACGAATTAGAGCAGAAAACCCTTCCGAGCAGCTACAGATCAAGAACTCTGCAGATACGGCTTCCGAATATGTGGCTGACTCCGCCCGATGTCTTGTCCCCTTCCAAAGCAGAGGTTAAACTTGGTCAAGTGCAGCTGCTAAATCTAAGTGGCATAATTAAAAATTAACACTTGTCCCAAATGCTTTGCTCCAGCTACGTTCTTATTTTGTCTGCCTCTGAGCTCTCCAAGGAACAAGTGATGGGATGGCGTGGGAAGGGCTTTGCACAGCATCCTGCCAGTCCTTCAGCACCCTTCCTTCTATTGGAGGCCAATAGCTGAGATCCCAGCACCCCCATTTCAGGAAGGCTTGGCAAGCACATCTCGTTGCATCCCCCTGACTTTGACCCAAGTCCGTCTCATCAGGGACTTTTTTTTTTTTTTTTTTTGCTTATCAGTTTGTTTTCAATGCAAGACCTTTCTCACTCCGGCACAGGAGGATGGACTTCTGTTGCCAAACTGCTCTCAGCAGAGATGCTGATGATGTGGAAACTCATTGTACCAGCTTCCACTTGTCTTGTGCAGACCTGGGACTGCTGTGGTGCCGTAACAGCAGATGTCAGGCCCTGGAAAGGGGCCGCATGGGCTTCTTCTATTGGAATGGCATGAGAAAAAGGGTCAGATGCTGCAGTCAGGATGCAAGGACCTGATTTTGTCTAAGACACGTTCATCCTGTACAGACTCTGCATGGAGAAAACCGTAAAGCAGCAGGCTGCAGAACACCTCCTACCACAAACATTTCCTGCAGTGATTTATTTCTCATCTTGCGAGCCGACTGCTTTACTCCCTGCCAGCGCTTATCATCCAAGTTGCAGGAGACTGGATAGCGGAGACGCAGTGATTTTCAGAGTCTTCCACAATGTTCCTCTGTAGCAGGTGCGTTTCTCCAGCTCAAAGCACATCACGCTGCCGCCTCGTTGCAGGATA